TTTTTTTTTTTATTCTATATTCTGATTGTGGTGGTGGTTACACAAGTGTATACATTTGCCAAAACTCATCAAATTATAGATTAAATTGGGTATATTTTACTGTGTGTAAATTATACTTTAATAAATATGACTAAAACTAAAAATACTTTTAAAAGTGGTATATATAAAAAGAAGAAATACTTAAAAACAAGGCAAAGAAAATATTTTAAAAGAAAATTACATGTACAATATGAATGCCATTAAATTTTTTTTTAAATATATAGGAAATGCATAAAAGTGTAATAGCACCTATCTTACCTATGATTTGGGATCAAACAAGTTTTCTTTTCCAGATTGTCTATGCTTTAAGGTTATGATTTTTATTTATTTATTTTTGGTAAAAAAATGGTTTATCCATTTCATTTTTTTGGTATAAAACACATGGGAGAAACCTATTCAACCTAGCCAATCAACATATAGCCTTCCACATGGAAAGGTACTTTTATCAAACTTTGAGTCTAAGAACATACAGATGTTTCTTTTCTTTTTTTTTTTTTAAGGACATGCAAATGTTTCTTTTACCATGTCTAAAGTAATTGTCTATGCTTTTCCATATAACTGTTTTAAAATTTCCATATGCCTCCATTATTTCATCTGTCCCAGTTAAAGTATAAGGAAAGGAGGAAGAGGGTTGGTTTAAACGTCTAAGTTTTCTACTGCCCTTTCTTTCCACATAGAGACTTGTGGATGTGAGTAACCAATCCCCCCACCCATAGCTGTGGTAGCCTTGATAAGAGAACCATATATATATGAATATGAGAATTGTATATGTATATGAATTAGAGAATCATTGTTATGTGTAGAGCCTTGCAGTGTAGACATAACATCATTACAGAGGTATTTATCAAGGCTTAGCATGTATTAGTAGTCAATAGCAAAAATAGCTCAAATTTTGGGAATGCAAGCTGGTACAGCCACTCTGGAAAACAGTATGGAGGTTCTTCAAAAAACTAAAAATAGAACTACCCTCCAACCCAGCAATTGCACTACTAGGCATTTACCACAAGGGATACAGGTGTGCTGTTTGGAAGGGACACATTCACCCCAATGTTTATAGCAGCGCTATC